ATTTTTTCTACGGCAAGTTCAAATATTTTTCTACGACATGCACGTATTCAATGGTTGGACCAATTTTGTTGTATAAAAAGCATCGTATATGTTATATGGGTTGTCAAAGACGAAAAAATGTTACCAAGCACTGAGGAAGCTGCAAACAAAAGGCCAGTAGACGAGAAACTGACACAGTCCGTCCTCGTTCATGATGTGGATGTTGAATATGCCAAGCCAGGCGACGAGAATGGAGATCAAAAATCCAGTGTCGCTAAGAGCCAAAGCAGCTAAATACATGCTGGAGGAATTGTACCGCATTTTGCTGGCGAAAACCACGTAAATGGACAGACAATTGCCCAAGCCGCCAACAAACACGAGCACCGGCAGGTAGTAGGTCTCCATGCCGTTTATAGCGGTCCAGCCGATCGAGTAGTTGCTGCTATTCTCGTTGCCGTCCGTCATTTTCTCTCAGTCTCTTTTGATTTATTTTGGCTCCACTTTGCCCCGTAGCGTGGGATCGACGCTTTCAGCTTCACTCACGGCTGTTTATCTTTTGTTGCGCCTCGTCCTCTCCGAGTACATCTTTTTCTTTGACTACGAGGTCGCCTTTTTCTCTCGGGCGCTTCTCGATCATTACTCGTTTTATTAGCTGCTGCTGCTGGGCCATGTAACTATTATACGTAGATAGAAGGGGTTTTAACGGGAGGTGTTTTGCGTGTTAAAGAAATATTTTTGAAGCAATACTGAATTTACTTTGGATCTGAAGCGGAAGCTTTTTCTGTGACTGGATGCCGAAACTTTTTTTGTTTTTAAGGTGAATCATGCATGACACTACTTATGTAAGCTTTCGTTGAATTTTTAAGCTTTAAGCCATTTTATCTTGGAACTCACGTTACTTTTTGCCATTGCAATAATTTTAAAGCTCAAGTATCACATGATTTCATTCTTCTTTAATTGATTTCCCTTACATACTTGTTTTGTGAATATGCTAAAAACAATCGAGCAGTTAATAAAAATACATACAATTTTCCAACAAAAGTTAAAAAAAATCAAACTTCTATATTACTGAAAAATAAGATTTTTTCAGTACGAAAAAATGCTCGCGTGTGAATACACAACGATTTAAAGTCTTTTTTAATCCGTCCGCTGTACCAATAAATTATTCCAACGCTTGTGGAATAAAAAATTATAATTAGTTATCGTAGCAAATGATATTAGTGGCCATAGAAAAATTAACTCGGCTTCTATAAATTTTTCGATTTTTCCAAACACTTATTTTTTCTTTTCGTTGCAGTTTACGTAACATCTTCGATTGCCCACATTTTACATTGTTTCATTTTTTGTTTGTTACTTCATTATCACTGTTCTCTAAAAAAAAAAAAAAAAAAAAACACTTTTCCTCTTTGGTCCGAAATTCTATTCAACCGATAGTTTAAAACTTATTTTCACGAAAAAATTTATCACTTACATTTTCTTTTCACTTTCAATCTCGAACCAAAACACTTTTACGCTCAGCGAATTATCAATCACATTCCACGTTGCTTGACACACTATGAGACAAAAGCCCGAAATCAGCACAAACTTATGATTTTCTTTTTGAACAATTATGATTTTACGATTCACTTTCGCATTTTGATTTTTCATCTTGAACAGAAAGAAAAGTTGGAAAAAATCTGTTCAAACTCGGTCTATTAGCTAGCCAAAAATAATTGAAAAAAAAAATTTTAATAAAAACAGTAACATTGACTCGTATTTATATGTATCAGTTGCTCCGACAACGCACGCGGTACGACTGAATGAAGAAAGAATGCGCGGGCTAGCCCTCGGCCGTAAGGTATATGCGGTGTACTATATACACAGAACTACCAGCGCGCGCGCGTGCAATTGTTTGGAAGTGAGGGAGAAGAACACTTGAATGCGGAAGCCTCCCTTTTTTCCATTCCATTTTTTTTTCAATACTTTGAAGGGTTGGTGATGCGCCACTTATCTCAAAGTAGGTGCAGCGGTATTTACATCGATTAAATGGTTGTCTTTGTGACCGTGGCTAAATTGACTTACAAGCTTTAGCCGAAACACCAATTACAACCCTGAATTATCACGTTTGGACCTTTGTACAAAGTGTGATCGAATTAAATGGTTTTCATTGTGTTTAATTGCGTTTTTGATACCTTGACTCATTGACGTACATGTGTGACGTAATCGCCTCACGTTCCATCACAAATCTCATTCAAATTCGTTTAAGCTTGAAATTTTAGAAAATTTTAATCAAATGTATGGATTCAGGATGAAAATTAAATTTGGTGGATACGTGTGTTCAATAAATTTTGTACACAATATCTTTTTTTTCAATCGTACGAGTTTTTGTATTTTTAAAACTAGAGGGTTGAGATTATTAAGTAAAAAAATTTACTTTGACGAAAAATTTAGAACTTTACGTAATTTACAAAATTTCAGAAAATATAAAAAAAGGAGTTACAAGCGAAAAAATATTGAGAGAAAAAAATAATTAGACTCATTTTATGCCTGTATTATGCTTTTAATCAGTAAAATTTTTAGCACTTACAGCATACAAAATCTATAATTTAGTAAAATACTAATAAATTAAGTAGAGTTTTTGCGTCGAAAAAAAACCATATGTAATTCATGTATCGAGTATCTTAATCCTCTAAAACTTTAATTAGCTATCTTTCTGTATGTAAACCAGTAAAAAATCACTGAGTTTTTTCTCGTTTAAATTTAGAGAGGTATAATTTCTTTATTTTCATTCGGCACTGGGAAATCTTTTTCTACTACTTACTTACATGTATGTTATTAAGACAAAAAAAAAAAAAAAATTTGAGCATAAGCTGTATGGATTTAATTAGAAAAGTTATGCTTCGATAAAGATTCATTTAATAATGTTTAATTAAAGTACTAAAGTTGACCGTGACTTAATTGAACACTGCGGTGTATTTTTATTTTTTTAGCAGCGTCTGTAGTGCTTCGAGCTGTCCCCAAATAAAGTTTCTTTCAGCTCCTGTTTTTACTACTACAACCGAAAGCCAAACTAAATAAATCACACGGAAATCCAAGCAGCCCAAATCACCTGTCTATTAACAGGTATATTTTTCTCAATAAAAAAAGGCGGGGAGAACTAATTGAAGTAATGGAGGAAAAATAATCGCTTCATCTTTTTTCCCCTCTTGGTCAGTTGCAAAGCAAAGCCTCGAGAAAAAAGAAAGACATACGGGCGAGTAACTCACGCGCGTGTAACAAAGAGAGGAAATTTCTCAGCCTTGCGTGGGCCGGGGGGTGGAGGCGCGAGAAGGAAATCCGAGCGAGGGAAAGTAAGTTTATGTATATAAAGTAGCGCTGGACTGTTGACGTGCAAGGAATCAATGATTTTTTATCTGTGACGCAGATGGTAGGCTCGACCAGCAACGTGTGAAGGGAAGGGGATCGTTTGATGGCTTTTACAATCGTCTTTAGCACCGGTACTTTTTTTTCCTTTTAATCGAGTGACATTGGCTCGCAAGGGATTGAACGAAATGTACGGTGGAAGATTTTTTCGCTCCACCTATACAAATGCACGACTTTCTTTATTCGCTTGCGAAGAAGCGTAAACGAACGCAGTGTGGCAGTTTGGGAACATGCACTGAATATGGAAATGCCATTCGAATTTTAACGAAATGCTGATTCTCATGCATATCTAGAAGTGTTTTCAAAAATCGATTAACTAATTTGGTATTGTGTGATTAATTATTTTAAACATCATTTCGTAACAATATTCTTAGGTTATTGATTCGTAAAGAGCACTTGCCGATTAAATTTTCCAATTGACTCGTGTGTATCGGTAGGTATAGATTCTTAAATAAATAATAACTCGGAAGTCATATGGGTACGGGTATTAATTTTTGTATTGTAAACTTATGGATAAAAGAGATTTAAGTCCGTAAAAATAGAGTCCAATGGCCGGTAACATCAATAAAAACTCTTCGGAGCAAATAACGCCATTAAAGCAATTACTGCATCGTTATAGATACTCGAGTAAAAGTTTCAGTTGTAGTATATTAGCACGTTTGACATTTAAAGTGGTTTGGATACTATTTGAAAAACTCTTGAATTTATTCAAGTGTGCTACAGGAGCATCAGTTTCTTTCTTACAAGATTTATAAAAAAAAAAAAATTTTCTCGAATTTGTAATCTAAATGATAATTTTTGTCAAAAAAAAAAAAAAAAAGTGTTTCAATGTATCAAGTGTGTTCACTAAAACGAAATTCTCGTCTAAATACTGTATATCTGTTGATTTGGACGTCCATCAAGTTTAATCAATATCAAATCTCGGTTGTCGGTTATTGCAAACGTAGAAACAAGCGAAACTGCAATTTCCTCACAATTATGTTGCTACAGTCAAATCAAAATGGTATTAAATACCTTGTAAATGTAAAGCTTTTAGGTAAGGTGCAGCTTAACGTGACTCTTGACTGGAGAAAGGTCGCTTAGCCACGAGTACGGGAAAATTTATTGGTACGTTTAAAAACATTGAAGAAGGACACTCCTAGCTCGAGGCAATTTTTTCATAATGAATATCAGGCTGAGTTCAAAGTTCTTCATAATGTACGGAAACCCTCTAGAGTACCTACCATAGCGAGGGTTTACGGGGAGTCGTAAATTGTGATCGTTGCCGTTAAGAGTAACGTAAAAATTACTACATTTTTTTTCTTTTTTTTTTACCAATAACGTTATCGACACTCAGAATGACTTTCAATAAGTGGTTGATAAGAATTTTTTTTTTTTGCCAACAATTCGAAACAAAAGTTTGACCACTGAAGTCAACTCAAGAAGAAAAATGTATGTTCTTCGACGATCTCGCTCAATGTATCAGCTAAATTGCCAAGAAAACCGAAATTTCGTACAAACTTGGTAAGGGTCGATTAAGAGCTTTTTCCTGGAAATCAATAGAATCGTACAAAAAACCTTTATCCCTATACAAACGATAGGCTATCATGTAAAGGGTCGATCGATACTTTCTGTTGCAGGTCAAGAAGAGCCGGTAGCGTCAGTTGCCGTATCAACAACGAGCAACACCACGATGACTGCAGCTGCGAGTACTGGCAACGCAGTAGTAACCATCGGGTCTGGTCAGACGTCGGGGCTTATCCAAACTGGGACTACTCAGCGCGTCAACACTTTGGACGCTCTCCTCACCACTACCTGCTGTCGCAGTCAGAAGTTCCTGTCGCGCCAGTTGGCTCAACTCCACCCGGAGCTTACTATGCCTATGTTCAGTGGTGAGTCTCTTTCTCCTATACGATAATTCAGTAGGCGGTAATATTGAACATACAATACTGTTTGACAAAATTTTCTCCCTTTGTGTTGAGCGATGCTTTAGACAAGATTCATGTTTAAAAAAAAAAAGCTATGTTTTGGCCTGCACTTTAGGTATGTTTTTGTTTACAACATCTGTGTTAAAAAGAAAAAAAACAAGTCTATTTCGTGCCATTTTCTTGTTTGTTTCCTTTTTTAAGTTCACAAAGCTCTTGTATAAAATATTAACTAAAAATTGAAGAAGTAAATATATATTTCCAACCAACTGATTTTTTTCAACAGGTTGTTAGTCAGTTTACGGTACAAAGATTGGAAAATATTTTATAGTGATAGTTAAAACTAAAAAAAAATTTTATTTCGACTAATATGTTAGCATGAAAAGTTGTTTTCTTAATATTTATATGAGGTGTTACTATGAGATGAAATACGACATTGTGCTCTGTGTATTTGTTGGAAAATCGTGATATCTCGATTCACAAGTTCAACCGTTTTCTCCTTGCTTGCCTCCTACTCTTGTATCCATTTATAACCGTAGTTTCCAATACCTAGTCCAGATTTCCGCTCCAAGCTTTGTCTCTTTCTCATCTATACCATCTGAGCTGAGCTGGGCTTCTGTTTACGCAGAGATAATATACATTATGCACCATTAGTCAGATCATCGACAGCTTAAACACATACACGCGGACCCTGTCGTTATTCCTCCGTGTCTCTTTTTTCTAGCCCCATTTCCACGTGGCCAATCGACCACGATAATTACTGCATTCCGTCATAGCACGTGCATTTAAATTTATGTGATGTCAAAGCATATTTTTTATACAAAATGGTACGATTCCATTCCGCTTAAAATATACAAAACGATGAATACCTGCTTTGAAAAACCTTCGCAACAATATAATATTCATAACAGCTGAACGTATACATATAAAATTGAGAAAATTACTCGTTGAAGTTTGTTATTCAAACAGTAAACATAAACAGTAAACAGTTAAATAAAAGTACGTATTGAAGTTGTATAAGAAGTAAAATGTGTACCTATAGTGCTTTTGAATGGGTAGCATTAAGAGTTATTTCTTTTGATATTAATATTATCAGTAACTCTTGCAATTACAAAGTAAAATACGTTACTGCGATAACATTTTTCTGTGAAGCAAAAAAAAAAAAATAATATTTGATCAAGTAGGGGCGGAACGTGGGGGGAAAACAGTATTATAATTCAAAGGCTTATACGATTATTGGTATTGATTTATATGTTTTGCTCTGTAAATTTAAATAACAAATACATTACAGTGATGTATGCTAGAAATAATTTACATTATAAATGTGTGCCTCGATTACATCTCCCTCGCGTATTTCGACGCAATACACATACAGATACTACCTCCTCGTATACGAAGACAGAGCACCATATTGAAAGTGACTGCATGGTACATAGTTAGCTGAATGACCCCGCCCAAAAGTTAACAGCTACTTATTCTTGTTACGACGAGCGATAATCTGTTTCTCGCTCTTCGGAATACAGAGCAGTGTTTTTTTCACATCGTGTCTGCACACTATTCTCATCCGATCTCTCGTTATCTCGATTGGAAAAAAAACTTTTGGGGATTGCGAAGTTTCCCTTGTATAGGTCCTTAGCACCCGTGAAAGAGAAGTTGATGTATGGTTGCCAATGAGGCCCCGATAAAAGTGATAAATGGTGACAAGTCAGAGGAAATGTAACTTTTGGAACCAGTTTGACTATCTGAAATCTTAGCTAAGCTACATTCCAGTATTTTTGCTTATAAATTATACGTGTAAAAAGAAATGCACAAGTCGTGTCTGTTTTTATTATTTATATGATAGATTCGTGGTATCCTGTACACAAAATGGTCCAGAATTTAGATGTTCCCTAATATATGTGATGTGTGGTTTATACTAAAATAAAAAAAGTTCGGCAAATGAAAATAAACTTTGGTCATGAGCATTGACAACATTAATTGTGTGCTTGCGAGTCAAAAGGCGTCTTTTTTTTTTTTTTACAGAAATAACCCACAGATTTCAAACTGCTCGTCGTGAGGTTCGTCAGCTCTTGTTGCAGTACTTGCTCCCGTGGCTGCACAATATGGAACTCGTGGATCCGAATGTACCCCCACCATCGAATCCTCTCAATTACTATCAGGTGGGTCTATTGTCCTTCAAACATGTCTTATTCATTGTTTTGACACATTTCACTTTACTTACCACAAGATAAAAACAGAATAATTTATGAAACATTTAAATCTATTTATAATTTAATGATTCAAGCCACTGTACGATAACAATTTTCTAAACAACTTTACCATTTGCACTCATAAAACGTACACGATAAAAAGTTGCTGGAGAAACGTCAAGTAGGTATTCTTAGGTTCCTATGAAAAGTTTAACCATTTTCCAAATTAAATAGTGTTACGGGAATGACGTGACGCGAGGCAGTAGCAGCGGTGGCACGAGGCGCGAGGGCTGGGGTAGTGCCGAAGCTACAGAGATGGTGCTCAACAATCTCTTCTACATAACGGCCAAGGTAAGACTGAAGGAGATTGTATATCTGTATGAAGGCGTGCTTGTATACACCGATCCAATTCACTGAGTTGTTTAAAATTTTTTAAAGAAAGTTAAAATAACCGGGAAAAAATGAACCTTACGAACAATTGTATTATATATTTGAGGAAGATAGTTTATTTGACGATACATTTATGTAAACAATATGTTTTTTCGACCTGAATTTTTTCAATTTCTAGCCTTTAATGAATAAGTATTTGATAAAAAAAGTTTGACCCTCTCTCTCTCTCTCTCTCTCTGTGTGTGTATACGAGTCCAATATAAAGTTTAAGATATCATTTTTATGAGGAAAAAAATATGAAATATCCTTCAATGTCGAGCTTGTAGCTCCGGACTGCTTGCTCCCACCCCCCTGACACTACGTATACCATCAGCTTGTAGCTTTAACACATTTCATACGTATGTTATACGCATAAATCGAATCCTGTTCGTGATTTCGTATTTATTTGGAATATCCTATAAATGTGAGGTTGACTTGGATTTGATAACTGTATTAATTTGTACCAGTGTTTGATCATCGAAGATTTAGTTTCTTTTTAGTTTTATATAGTTAACCCCAAACTAAGTGATAACTGTTATAAGTAAATTAATATAATATGTTCGTATTTATTAAAATTCTTAGAAAACCCCGGTAATGAAGCTACTTTAATCATATCTGAGTTATTACTTTATTCGATTGTTGTTGCATTAAAATGCAACTTTGCCAACTTTTTTAGATAGAATTGAATATTCTATCGCTTTAATTATTATTTATTAAATATTTTCTTTCATATCTTAGCAATGACTTGGTAATACTTTATGGGAATATTAGAAATAGTGCACTTTTCCGATGAAACATTCATAAGGTTTTAAAATAACTTGTTTACATGCTGGTTTTTTTTTTCCTATTAGTTTTCAGACGAGCACCCAAAAGAGACCGAAGAACTATGGGCGACTTTGTGCGGTTGTTGGCCCAACAATCTCAAAGTTACCATTCGCTACCTGATAATCGTCTCAGGCATGGCACCTCAAGAACTTTTGCCCTACGTAAGTACATACATTATTTATACGTAAATCCAAATGGTTTTTTCTTCAAACATGTATGTATAGGTATCCCTTAAACTCCCCTTTTTTACGTGTATCGACAACATCAACAAGTAAACCTATTTTGATTGTAAAATCAATAAGTAAAGCATAGTTAGTTTTTTAATTAGACGTTCTTATAGGAGAACATTTGTCAGCCCTAAGTGTGGATGAATATTTTAATGAAATAAAATAATTTAGACAAAATAGTTCGATTTGAAGCTCGAAAAGCCGTAAAAGTATCGATCACATGATAAAATATTTAAATTCTTAAAACTGAATGATTAAAAATACCATCTTATGGAGGATAAAATAATATCCACACAATCTTTTTGATTCGACTTGTATTTTTCGCGATAAAAAAATTACGCCTCAAAATGGACCTCTGGAAAATTTTCATTTGGGATTGATTATTTTGTAAAACGAAAAAATAAACAATGTATCCTCAAAAGCCACTTTTGCGCTCAAGGAACCCTTTTAATGAAAAATGAACCCAAGTAAGTGTATAAGTGTTAAAAAATGGTTGAAAACGCAAGACACTGGGGCTCTGTATAGGCGAAGCGGGTGGTGCTGTACCTCGCCCGAGCCAGGCCCGACCGGCTCGTCGACGAGATGATGACGGAGCTGCAAACCGTGGAGACGCTCAATTGCCTGATCGAGCGTACCGAGACACCGCCGTTTTATCGGCTGACGAGTATGCGCAAGGCCTCGTCGCACAGCGACGCCCCCACAGCCGCCGATCCAACTGCCCCGGGCAAGGAGCTCGGGCTCGTGGAGAAAGGCACGATACACACCAAACGCCACTCGGGGGAGGATCCCATCAAAAGCGGGTACATTTACACGCCAATTCATTTTTATGGCTTCTTGCTTTCTCCGTCTCTTCCAACGAGCAAGAGAACTCTTTCTCCTTGTTAAGTGTATGATTGCAACCGTATAATGTGATTCACTGTTTTAAGGCTTCACATTTTCCATGAAGTTCTATTTACGAAGCTGAGATGAGAAGTGCCTGGCGTTTTTACTTATTTCTTAAAACCAGTTCATTCCTCGTGGCGTTGCCTAGTTACGACACGATCCTTTAGCTGTTTTGTGCTTACCAACAACTTACACTACATTCAATTATATAGCTATTGAAAAAACCACAATTTGGAACAATCGGAATGATTAACACTTTATACTTATACAGTGGTATGCGATATACGAGCTGAGAAAAAGCTTTATCTTTCGCTGCCACGTGTAGCGCAATAACACTTGATATTGAGCCAAGAATTAATTGAATTTTCGAACACACAAAGTATTTAAAAGAGACGGAGTAAGCATTGAGAAAAATCATTGTTTTGTTTTAATGACGAGTCCATGTTGAAAGTAAAAAAAAAAAATAAGCGAAAGACAAACGAAGCAACCACAATATGCGTGCACAATATATAAGTTAAACGTAGCAGTAAGAAAAATTATGGCTATTGCAAATGTTCATCGTAAACCGATCAATTTTAATGCATAAGTATAATACACGTATATGCATGTATCGATCCATTGATGCAGGAATTCAAAATCGGAGACTACGTTGCGGGCTCTTGCCGGTTTCCCGTGTAGCAAGCGCAACGCAAATGGTGCCCTGTTGTTCGACGACCTGTCGTTACCGCTGACCGAGGCAGAGGTAAAGACATAATTTATACATAGGATAGAAAGCGTTATACGTTTGCTCGCTTTGCTGATACACAAAATTAGAGAACCATGTGTTGAGCATCGAGATAAGCAAAAAAGATTTGTATCGTGCATGATCATCCGTAGACTTTTAAAATGGATACGCACGATTTATTTTCACACATATGTATCGCATATACACAATATAGATACCAAATCATCGTCCGTACATCAGCTATGTATGTGTTTTTGCAATAAAAGCAGCAACAATAACCACCACCACCACCACTGCCGCTGTAGATGTGTTCACCGTTTATTATTTAACGTTCCTTTCCTTTACAGTACTTTGACTTTCAGTTGACGTCTGAGGACGCTTATTACATACGCAACGTGCCCGTCGCCTTCAACAACGGCAAGCCAACCACAGTCCCGGGCGACAAGCTCGACGTGCCCCAGCCCCATCCACTGCCGATGCCCGAGTACGGCGGCTACTTTGCCCCCCTCACGGAGTACCTTCCCGACAGCTCCCAGCCGATCAGTGGTTTTCACAGGTTGGTGCTAACTTGCAGACATTACTTAACTGCTGATCATTCGCCAAGGAAAATATGTAGCCATCTATTTTTTTTTTTTTTTCAAATTTTTATTTATTGTATATTCATCCATCACGTCTATCTATGTTTGTCATGTTTTTGCACGATATATTGTAGTAAAATTTAGAGGCATCAATACACTTTTTGTTGATTTTTTTTCATCCATTTTAATAAAAGTCAACATAACGTTTAGCTCTTCGTTTTCGATAGTTCGCAATGCAAGTGTAAGCACTCGCCAAAATGATATTCATCCATATTTTTCTACATTTTTTTGATTGTATGATTGTTTTTTTTTTTTTTTTTTTTTTTTCAATTTTCATTCAAAACAAAGTATAACAAATAAACCTTTTACTTTCCGGATGAACAACAAATCGTAGATGCAACATCGCCGTGATGCTGCTGACGGACGTCGTGGTGGATGGGATCCAGTTGGACTGGTCGATCCACGTGCCCCTGATGCTGCACATCGTCTTCCTCGGGCTCGATCACTCACGGCCCCTCGTGCGCGACCATTGCCGGCTGCTGCTCCTCAACATGCTCGTCGTCCTCGGCGATCACCGGGACCACTTGGGCGTCGCCCGGCTACTCCTGGCCACCAAAACCGACGCCCTGGGTCTCGGGCTGTCGACTCCGCCCTTACCCGTCATCGAGCACAACTTTACCGAAGTCGACCCCGAATTCGACAGCTACTTGTACGGCCCCCCACAACCTCCGTCTGCCACAGTGACGGCCCAACCCACGTGAGTCATCGTTTCATCTTGATTCGCGTGAAATACCAATTTTTCAACCATACGTACGCGCTGGATCGTATTGATTATGTTTGGTGCAAACTCAATTCCAATTGGCATTGGGCTACTAGAAAACTATAACAGACTTCGCGAGTGCGACTATCCAGGCACGTTTGTTTACAAGCCATTTGACTGGTGTGCTATACGCGTGTTGAAATTGCGCGTGGAGATATAGTTTATTTTATCTATGCCGATCCTGGAAGTTTTGCGTAACGGTTGTGCAGGAATTACCGGAATTTCAATGATATTGTTTGAAACTTGTAGATCTGGAGCGCCGGTGGTCGTGTCATCGCCACAGTCGCAGTCGCCGCCGCCGAGTACGCCGCCTTCGACGCCACCTCCGCCACCACCGCCACCACCACCACCGCCGCCGCCACTACCACCAACCGAGACGTCGTCATCGCCGACCTGCTCCTCGTCCCACTCGTCCTCGGCATCCAACAACGCCAGTCCCGCGCACTCCCCCATCAACGTGGGCAACACCCCGCCCGCGACCATACGACACGTAGCGGCGTCAAACCTTGCTGACGAGTCCAAGAACCCGACGGTCGTGTACACCTACGGTAAGGCTGATTTCAATTCATGTTTACGACTAATCGTGAGCTTTTTTCTTAAACCACACCACGTTATGAGCTGATGAGTTTTTCGTTAAAAATCTAGACAGAGAATATTCAATTTGGTGGTGAGTTTGTAAATTAGGAGAACATTTTCAGTACGATTATCCAGTTAGCTATTTTTACGCTCGACGGGGTACTGCTATTATTATTATTATTATAGGAAAAGACATAATAGTTTTTTCATCAAAACAAAAAGGAACTGGTTATTTGAATATTTGAAAATTCAATTGGCCAAAAATAAAAAGGGACAATTCACTCTTTAGGAGGCCATAATATGAAACTTAAAGATCTCAAGCGAACACAACAGGTTTGCGGAAGTCCTGATGTATGTGGTCTGATACGTATGAGGTATAATATTTTGATAAAACAACGTATTTGGATCTTTTAAAAGCGTCATTGTCTTTTCTATATGCCAAACAAAGATTACACGAGAAAGCAAAACAATAGTATTACTTGACATAGGTGGACTGGCGGAAGAAGAAACTTTTTGCAAAAAAAATGTGCAAAAAATAAATTTGGAGGCGCCGGGCATCGATCCCGGTACCTCTCGCATGCTAAGCGAGCGCTCTACCATCTGAGCTACGCCCCCCGTGACATGGGACCGGTCAAAAAAGTTATTTTCAATGGTCACTGCGCTCTACTTTCACGAGCAGGCAATGATTTCCCCTTTCATTAAGTATACCTATATACTTTCGTTCGATTGAGGTGCTCCAAACTCCAAACGCTCTCCAAAAAGCACTGTAAATATAGACATACATCTCAATGTATCTGGGATATAAATTACATATATACCTGTGTAGCCTGTGCACACACGTGTATGCGTAACATATGGTAGCGATCAAATAATGTCTTAGGGTTGAACCGCATACACTGCAGTTGTTAGCTAACTCAACATAAATTGGCCCCACGTGTATCTTTGGGTAGAGTTTGTAGGTATATACATATAATTAATATTAACATATTTTGTGTGGTCAATTATTGTTACGGGGAGCCAATACTTCGTTCATTTTACAGGATTTTTTTTTTTTTTTTTTTTTTTTTTATTCACATTAAAAACATTTTTATGTTTTAAAAGATACTAATTATATAAAATAGATTAAATATCTTTATACTTATCAAAAATAACGAATAAAATTTTACGCGGCTTATCCACTCATCACAACTTGTCGGTCAAAAAGAAGTAAAAAAATGTACGTAGCTCATTATTTCACTGATATAATTGAAACTTTTACATTTATACAAGTGAACTGTACCAATATTTAATTGACGTACATTCAGCTACTTTTTAAAATTAAAAGTCTACATATACATTCAATTCCAAGGAAACACTGATTTCCAATGATTTATTTATAAAAAATTTAATACAAATTTAATACAAAAAATTAACGTTGGTAGTATTATTTATTTGACGTATCTACTTGATGAATAGTAACATGTAAAAAAAAAAAAAAAAAAAAATTATTGGAGGCGCCGGGCATCGATCCCGGTACCTCTCGCATGCTAAGCGAGCGCTCTACCATCTGAGCTACGCCCCCTGATGATGGGCTGAGCGTTATCGAGCTTTTTAAAGCAGATCACTCTGTACATGCGACCTGTACATTTTCAATACTCCATACATAATAGCTGTTACATATATAAATAAGTTTAATTAACAATTTTTTTAATTTTTACATTTTTTAATAAAAGATAAATTGTAAAAAAAATTTGTTTAGATGCAAAAAAATACAAGGTATAAACGCTTATGATTTGTCTAATATTTGTAAATTGATCTTTTCATTTTTGATTGTTTATTTTTAACAACTTTTTTTTTTTCATCAAGCAAAACTTATCTGTCATTACATAACATTTGTTTTCATCCTGAATCACGAGTGTTTACGTGATATCTCGTTGATAAAAAAAATTATCCACACTGTAAATATATACTCTTGATTAAAAAATGCATAACTGATGAACGATTCCATGATTAAACTTGTTTGTAGACTCCACGTGCCAGCAAGGGAACTGGGCCACGAGCGAAAGACCGACCAGCATAACAGGGCCTCAGGTCATCGTGACCCCCGAAGATGGAGCCAATTGGAGCGGACCTCAGCCGGGACCAAACATGCCAATCCAAGACGTCATCAAGTCGTTGATAAATTTCCTCGCCTCCAGGTCCATAAATACACATTACTCTAACTTGTTGTCAATGGATCATCTAAAGTGATTTTATGTTAATCGTCATCGGTCACCTTTTCAGAACAAACCAGCCGCTGTGGAACTACGAAGACATGACGGCAAAGGTGTGGTGGGTGCGCAGCGCTGAGCAACTGACGATACTCCTGCGACACGTGCTCAGGGTGTTCCGGGAATCGCTGCCCCACGCGCTTGTAAGCCAACGCTGGGCCCAAACTGCCCTGCAGCTCGGCCTGTCGTGCTCGTCGCGCCACTACGCCGGCAGATCCCTTCAGGTCTTCAGAGCACTCCGCGTCCCCATCACCTCGCGCATGCTGTCCGACATACTTTCCAGGCTCGTGGAAACTGTGGCCGAACAAGGCGAGGACATGCAGGTAATCCCCCCCCCACCTTTGCCCCATAATGACTGCGGACTAAATTAAAGAGGATGTTTGTGAACGATGACAATACCCTGTCACCAGGGCTACGTGACGGAGTTGCTCCTAACGCTCGAGGCCGCGGTCGACTCGTTGGAGTCCGACTTCCGGCCGCTCGACTTCATGAAGGAGATCTTCAAGTCGACGCCCAACCTCAACAACAAGGACGCGGCTGCGAAACGCGGCGCGCCCGGCACCTCCGGTTATCCCGGCAATGGTCCCCAAATGTTCTCCCATCTCAATCAGCAGGGCCACATGAGGAGCACCAGCTACTCGGTCAGCTACTCCACGAGGAAGTCCGCTGCTGCGGCCAATGCCGCTGTCAGCGAAGCCAAAGGTGAGATTATAGTTACATGGATATACGATTGTCGACAATTGCATTCAGGGCGATCGTTGTATCGAATTTTCCTTATTGTTTGCGGTTAATGAGGGGGACCTACATTTTTTCAGCAGAGCTGGAAGCTCGCGCGGGGAGCACCAAGTACGCAAACTCGAATCTATCGCGTTCACGGTCGGCCCAGTCTCTGAAGCTTCTCGGGGACTCGGCGACCCAGGACGACAAAATGACGATCCTCGCCCAATTGTTTTGGCTCTCGGTCTCCCTGCTCGAGTCCGACTACGAGCACGAGTTTCTGCTGGCGCTGCGTCTCCTCGACCGCGTGCTACACAGGCTGCCCCTGGATCGGCCCGATGCGCGCGACAAGGTCGAGAAAATCCAGCAACAGCTCAGGTGGACGTCATTTCCCGGCGTGCATGCGCTACTCCTCAAGGTGACTTAGTTGCCTATTTTTTGTACACCAGCATTGGGTACATTGTTTCGTTTTATTTACGTTTGATTCGTACGCTCGAAGGGCTGTACGAGTCCAAATACGTACGAGCCGGTGGTGACGCTGCTGTCGCAGTTTACTCTGTTACTGGACTTACCGGTCGTCGATCCAACCCAGAGCTTGGCTTTCCCGATGAACGTCATATCTCTGCTGCCTTACATGCTTTTGAATTACGAAGACGCGAACGAGCTGTGCATCAGGAGCGCCGAGAATATTGCTCAGGTGAGATGGGTTTTCGCGTGCAGTTGTTTATAAACTCGAGCTTTTTCAATACCGGAGTAAATATAAAGGGTCAAATTTGAAATTTCTCTATCGGTTGGTCTTTGATATGTATTTCGTAACAGGTGAGTGCGGAGAAGGGCAAGAAGTTGGAGAATCTGGGCACAGTAATGACGTTATACAGCCGTCGCACCTTCAGCAAAGAAAGCTTCCAATGGACAAAGTGCGTTGTCAAGTATCTTTACGATACTTATGCACATCTTAGTTACAACATGCTAGCTTTCCTGGTCGAGGTGTTGGAAAAAGGTCCCGCGAACGTCGGCCTGCCCGTTCTCAGTATCATCCACTGTATGCTACACTACGTCGACATTTCGTCCCAAGCTGCTCAGCCAACGAACGTCGACCTCCTCCGCGTCATTTCGAAATATGTCGAAGTATGTCTTTTATTATTTTTATTTTTTATTTTTATTTTCAAGGCTGTTTACTTCACGTAATACTCTAAAAACCGATGATAGGGCCCGCAGTGGAAGGAGGCCCTGAAAATTCTAAAACTCGTGGTTACCAGGTCGTCGACACTGGTAGCACCGCCGACAACAGTTCACACAACGACGTGGGAATCTTCAATGTCCTCGCCACATCCAAGTTTCAACGATAACGAAATCTTTACCAAGAAAGAACTACCTGGTAGGCTTTAATTTTTTGTTTTTATGTTACGTATAAAAAAAATTTCTGTGCTTGGTAAAAAAAATGATATCCTGATTCGCCACATACTGTCAATTATTATTTTTTGGGATTGGACGGCGATCTTTTGAAAAATATTGTACTTTTTAGGTTGATGGTGATATTGTTTGCCGAGCACAATATTGTACTGTTTCCTATACAATGCATGAATTTTTTCGCTGTAATAACATTAGCCTTTTTTGTTTTTCACGTTGCATGGACTTGTAACTTTTACGAACCGGACCACGCATACTAACAACAGGTCGCAATAAAAATAATAAAGCTAGATTGTAGATATAATTGTTGAATAAAAGAGAAACTTATTTTCTTAATCTTGTATTGTCCACTTTGCATTTGAAGCCCTTGCTTGATTATGATATTGTTTACGTTTTAGCATTCTAGAGGCAGATTACGAAAAAATGGCTATTGATTTTACTGAACTGTAAAGTAAAATTTCGTTTAATATTATTTAAAAACTGTTGGTGAATCTTTTCTGATTTTTCAATAAAAATTTAGAGGTAGATTTACAAATCACATAATTAACAATAACTTTTAATCATTAAATAAAAAAAAATACTGTCAAGTGAAACAGTTGAAAAAGGGTTTCTACAATGTATTACGCAAAGAGAATTCACCTTCACATTAACGTCTTTTTTCCTAATCCGCCGTAATAAACATATTATCGTAGGTATAACAAAATTTAACTTGGTAAATTAGTATTGTTGATAAAATGAGTAAAAAAAATAACTTTATTTTCAATAGGTAGAACAATGGATTTTACGTACGACTTATCACAAACTTCAGTCATTGGGAAACGTTGGCTTATACGACAAATCACTGAGGACAAAATTCCAAACTCACCTCGTAGATCCATATCACTTTCTCCAGCTGATAATGGCCCTATTTCTGGCTGGAAAAGGCCATGGATGTCTCAGGTTAAAAAAATTCATTGCATACACCATTTGGTGGCGTTATTTTTTTTTTCGGAACAAGGTCTTTTTTTATTAAAAATAAAAACTTGGACAAATTTTTTATAGGGTCGAGTGCGAGAGTGTTTAGTGAATTTACTGACAACGTGTGGTCAACGAGTGGGATTACCAAAGAGTCCATCTGTAAGTACCATACAGGTGTTTCCCTAATAAATTTTCTACAAGCAGCAATCATTAAAGCCAAGTGATCTATTTCAATAACAATCATAAATAATTTTTGAAAACTTCTAAAAACATTTATGCTCGTCTTTTGTTCAGGTGATATTTAGTCAGAGTTCTGATCTGATGGAGAGGCAATCGTCAATGGCCTCGTCAACGGAAGAAGTTTCCGGAGCGAACAATGATTTAAGTGGCGGCTCGCGGCGAGACGAAGAGCAGTTCGGCGTTTTCAAGGACTTTGACTTTTTGGAATACGAAAGCGAAAGTGTTGAGGTAAGTACTTGGATATATTGTAGTTACTTTTTTGTTGAAATAGATAAATTTCATGAATGCAATCGCATTTTTATGATAGGGTGAAAGCACGGACAATTTCAATTGGGGCGTTAGACGACGGCCTCTCAGTGAAGGCGAAGAACGTGAAACGAATTTACGAACTTTCGAAGAGAGTCTCAGTGAAAAGACTGCATCGTCCGGTAAACAGACGATTCAGGTAAGAAAATAGTTATTTATAACAATTTACTCTTATTAACTGTACAACTTTTTCCAGCGAGGAGTCGCCGAGGAATCATCAGATGACGAAATTGGCTCCGAGTCGCCATTGGATGAAGTACCAGGTGGTTCCGGTGCTGGCCAAGACGTCAACAGTATTCCTGGTATGCACCCACCGTCTTCGTTATCTTTAATACCGAGTCGCAGTCGACATGACTCGTCAACAAGATCTGACACCTCGTAAGCTATTATTTACGAAATTATAAAATAATGAAAAAAAGTTTTTTTTCTCTAAATCTTCCTGTCCATGTCAAATGATATCTTTTTCATAGTGGTTCGAGTACTGGAGATTTAGGTGATGTTACACCGTGTAACGCATCGCCAAATCTATCGGCACTTATGCCTTTTAGACAAGTCGTTCGCGATGATACCGAAGAGATTTGGAGACAGCAGCTGCAGAACTTGATTACCGAAGCACTCTGCAGTCCTCTGGACGCTTTTCAGCTTCTCAGTAAAATATCAAGGGTAAGCTCGTGAAAAATTTATTTTAGTACGAATTCCGATAATGTGCTTCACAATAAAAAGGTTTTTTTTCCAGGATATATGTGGAAAATCTGTAGGACTCACTCGCGACGCGGGTTCTCTATTGAACAATGGTAGCGCTGCATCGGCGCAATTGGCATCGCATCTATTCAGCCACGCAGAGTTGTTGGGATCAAAAAGCGAACCACCAATCGTATGGTTTACTCCGTCCGTTTTCAATAACCAAAGACTTTATGAAACCTTGAGATTTGGACTACTAGAGATTCAAGAACATCTTGAAACCTATTTGGACAAAAAGGACCACGCTTCAGAGGTAAAATTACTTCACTAATTATGAGCAATGAAAAATTTTGGGTCAAAAATTAAACTATCTCAAAATATCCAGTGCCTTGAAGCTGTGAGAGCTGCAGCAAAACTACAGTCACTCGGAGAACCACATGCACATCCGGAAAGCGGCCTCGAGGAGATGCTGCTCGACCTTGGTCGAGCTCTCTACAAACTTCACTTCCAATTACTCTTAGTGATCGAAACTTCGAATAAAATGTTGTGTGCCTTAACTAGCGCTGCAAAAAATCTTCAAGCCAGTTTGCAGGACATGTCAGCTGAAATTGCTAGTATGAGGCAGTCACTGACTAGATCCCTCGAGCTAGAGATTGACAGCACAGAAAGCGAACGCAGTACACCGACTCCGAGTCTTAGCCCACAACCAGAGGTACTTGGAATTGGAACACTGCTTTAAATCTCTTATATTTTTAATATTTTGGTTCAAACTGTACATTTTTTATAGGCTGGTGGTTGCAATAATAGCATCAGTAATGAGGATTTTGTGAAAGTCGCAGAATTACTAAGGGCAGCCAAGTGGTCAGCTGCTTTGGAAATCGTTAGAGGACATAAAGCCGAGTGGACCACCGAACCTTTCTACGATGAGGACGATATAGCGATTGCAGTGAATATGTTTTGCAGATATTTAGGTCAAGACAGAGCTGGTAAGAACACACTTTTTCCTCCAGTAAAAGTATATAGAGTGGTGCAGTCATGTCTTAGACGTGGAAATATTTGACTTCATAAAAACAGTCATAAATAAAAAATTCAATGAATACTAACAAAACAAATTTCTTTTTTTTTTTTTTTTTAGACATCTTCATTGTAACAGGAAGTGAAGATGATTTGTCTGAGACTTTTGGAAGACTGATGGAAAGTCTGCTTCGAGTCCTATCAGCTGTGACGAGCTTAGAAACGTACACGCGACATTATGCAAGGACTTCAAGGACCCGAAGTGAGCACACAAAAGCAGACTGTTGAAACGACTTTGACAACATTTTTTTAGTCTAAAATTTTTACCAAATCATGTAATTTTTAGTTTGTAAATCTTCCACGGTAGAGAAACTATTCACTAATGATTATTGTTATGAATAATGTATAGGTCGTAAAAAAATAAATAGGTTTTTATTATTAATTATTCACTTTATTGTTATTTATTCACTTCATCACACCAACCCTACTAAAAATTTTTGAAAAATTACTGCAAAGGGGCAGGATCCTTGGATTGGACTAAACAGACTTACTAAAGGTATATATTTCCGATTTAGGAAATTTGACAATTTTTTTTTCCACGCAAGTAACTGTTTAGTTCCTTATTGTAACAATTCTATAAAACCCACACTGTGTTTCTGTTGTTAATAGTGTCTGACAGGCTGATACTTAGCATTGGTGAATCTGACTTTTGTGCGAAACCCCGGTCACAACATCTACATAAAAACGCGGAAGCGCACACAAAAACAAGTTATGAGTGCACGATAACACGTACGAGTACGAGTGCATAAATAGTAAATACACGTTGTATGTAAGAGATTTGTTCAAAATAATGAATGTCGATTTTATCAAACCATATAAGCAGAATTTTTGTACTTTAGAAGGTCAATTTTTTAAAAAAAGATAAATTGTAAAGTTGCCGCAAATGAATCAGACAACGTCAACTTTATGACTTCTATCTACAAAATTAGTTGCGGCTGGTTTATAATTGATTACATGGCTCTACTATAAGTAGTATAGTAGTAGTGTAATAATTCTTTAGATCAGCGCCATCTAGCGTTGCGGATTTTTGAACTAAAAAGTGGCCCTAAACTTTTGAAACCGAGCTTTAGCGCCTAAAGCCATTTAGTCAATTATAAACCAGCCGCAACTCATTGCTTAGCTATAAAATAAAAAAATAACGATACGTGTGTTTTTGGCGGCAAGTTAACAATTTATCTTGTACTCAAAAATTTATCTTTAAAAGTATAAAGACATAGAAGGTCGATTTTTGGTAAAAAATAGATTGTTAACTTGCCGCCAAAAACAAGTGTATCGTTATTTTTTTATTTTATAGCTACAAAATAAGTTGCGGCTGGTTTATAATTCACTAAATGGCTCTAAGCCCTTATGCTCGGTTTCAGAATTTTAGAGGCCACTTTTGGCGAACAAGTGAAAACCGCTAGATGGCGCTGATCAAAATGATCATTACAACTTACAATAGAGCCATATAATAAACCAGCCGCAACTAACTTGATATATAGAAAATAATAAGACAACATCTTCTGCGTTATTTGCGGCAAGTTTACAAATTACTTTCTACCCAAAAATTACAAAACTTCAATATTTTAGACCTTTTACCTTTAACTTTTTAAGCATTGACAACATTTAAGTAGAATAATAAAAATAAAGTTATTTTTAATATTTCTTGCTATTGACGGACTATTGTATAGCTAATGAAAATTCTAGAAGAAGCAGAACAGGTAAAATTTAATATCAAGTATCTTTCGTTATTATATAAATAATGTCCAAGTATCCTACTAAACATTAGTAGAATTGATGATTAAGTAAAAAAAATGACAATTTTTATCTATTCATTTTAAAAGTGTAATTAAATCCTTAGTATGTTTCAAGTTTTTAATGTAATTCCAAAAAATGTTTAAATGTCAACTGTCGACAGGAGATACCACAAGAACTGTATAGTATGGCTGATCGTCATGATGAGATGCAGAAAAGAAAATCTGAGGAACGAGATGGAAGAAGATATGGAAGTAGCGGAGGTGGAAATAGAGGAAGAAGAGATGGTAGTGATCGTTTTGGAGGAAGATGGTAGTCATTAAATAGTACTTGTTACAAAAATACTCAATATTTTTACGAATAAACAGATTTTTTTATAAAACTTTTTAACTGATCGATTTATTGAATTTGTTGATGCAAAATTATGAATGTGTTTACAGCATGATCATCATGCTACTATGGAATAATAATTTTTATATTTAAAAAAATTTTTAATTTAAGGAATATTACCTATAATGAATTATGTACACTCTATTTTTTTAATATGATTTACTCATTTTTTACTGGTTATTAATAACTTTATTGCAATTGCTATCCAAATAAAAAACTGTTAGCAAAACTTTGATAAAATGTAAAAGTTTGTAAATTTAATTACAGTAGTTCCCTGTCAAAGTAAATGTACAAACTATTGTAATTTTTTAGTAAAAGAAATAAATCCGTTTGAAAAAGTGTTGAGAGAATCATTCATGTACTATTAAAATATATAAAATATTATTTTTTCATAAGTTACTTGATAATAAAACGTGTCCAATGATAAAAATACTGATACAAATCGAGTATTATGAATAGTTCACTTCATGATACATGTAATTGTTGATAAAAACTGCTATTACACTACATGATTTTTTTTTTAATGATCAAAATACTATTTTGAAAAGACTTAAGTAATTTTTACGAAACGTAATTATACCGCGGCTCATAATCTCAAATAAACAATGCTGCATAAAGGCATAGCAGCATTTAATGAATGGACGTAACATCTGCATATTTATTTTATGGCGTCCATAAAAATTTCATATCCACAAATACACACTTATTGAGTACCTAATTTTTTGCAAAATAGGTCTGGTAAATTCTCGATACTTAATATACGTAATACATCTACGTGTCAATTGTGTCAAATTAACACATGATGTGAGTAGAAGTAAAACAACGATGCCATAGCCATACTTAAAAGCGAATAAAATTAATTTTATTTTCAATTCATGAGACTAAAACGATAATTTATATATCAGTTACAAACTAGCAGAATATTAACACCTAAAAACGCTGGCTGCCGGTATATGTTGTTATTGTCGTGTGCAGATTTGCAAAAGCTGATTTGATCTTTTTGATTTGATCTTACAAAAATGAACCCATAATCAATTTTTGAGCAGAAAATGACTTTAAATCATGCCGCAACTAGCATTTCTATAAACAATATTTGGTTTATATCCCGTGGTCAAAATTGCGGCTGGTTTATAATCAATTACACGGCTCTACTGTAAGTTGTAATAATTATTTTGATCAGCGCCATCTAGCGGTTTTCATTTTTTCGCCAAAAGTGGCCTCTAAAATTCTGAAACCGAGCATAAGGGCTTAGAGCCATTTAGTCAATTATAAACCAGCCGCATTTCATTGTAAAGATATAAACTAAAAAAATAACGATACACGTGTTTTTGGCGGCAAATTAACAATCTATTTACTATCAAAAAATCGACTTCCTATGTATTTATACTTTTGAAGATAAATTTTCGAACATAAGATAGGTTGTTAACTCGCCGCCAAAAACACATGTATCGTTATTTTTACGTTTTATAGCTACACAATAAGTTGCGGCTGGTTTATAATTGACTAAATGGCTCTAGGCGCTAAAGCTCGGTTTCAAAAGTTTAGGGCCACTTTTTAGTTCAAAAATCCGCAACGCTAGATGGCGCTGGTCCAAATAACTATTACTATTTACTTACAGTAGAGACACTTTGTTAACTATAAACTAGCCGCAACTGATCCTGTAAATAGACAATAAAAAGTCGACGTATTTTGTGCTATTTGCGGCAAGTTTACAATTTATCTTTGAGCCGAAAATCGACATGTAAAAGTGTAAATATTTTACTTATCATATATTGACGGCTCTTACGAAAAACAACGGAACTCAGAAATTCCAATGTTATTTTAAATGGGAAAATATGAGTTCCGTTGGTTTTCGTAAGAGCCGTCGATATGGCCTACAAAATCGAGCATATTTACAATATTACAATTACCTTAAACCTTTCACTATTAACTGATTGAAGCATAGCCCTTTAACTTTATAGTTCCATTAAACAGTTAACTTATATAATATGTACATACGTAGCAGAATTAGTGTTACAGAAATCTTGAATAACGATCAAATATATACGTAAATTTTTCAGCCTAAAAGAGACAACTGAAGAAAAAAGGCCTAAAAAAGAAGCACAGCATCACACGAAGAGTCACCTAAGAATAGAATAGAGCATTGGATTTCACTTAATCAGAAAAGGTTAGGATCTTTGTTTATTTATAACACCTAAAATTTACTTCTCTGTAATAAATATATTTTTTATTCAGTGAGGTCCAATGCTCCATTCTTAAAAGACTCATAGTGTGATACTGTGCTTCTTTTTTAGGCCTTTTTCCTTCAGTTGTCTCTTTTAGACTGATTAATTTACGTACATATTTACTTGTTTTTGTACCTACTGATAGGTACTTGTTTTTGTGCGTTTTTATTTCATAGAGATATCTCATAATCTGAATAATTAATCTTAATGGTTTTATGCAGATGTCGTTACCGGGCTTCCATAATTTGCAGATTGCAGATTGCAGACTTGCAGTGTTGCAGTGTCAGACAGCTGTCAGACAGAGAGTAGAGTGATACAGTTGTTGTCATTAGAGAGCTTGGATTTGTGATTATGTGTTTGTAAATAAAAAAAACTATCTTGAGTAAACAAGTTTGTGTTATTAACTGTATGCAAACAATATAAAATTTATTTTAAATTTGCGCAATGGAGCTCAATATCGATCAAGCAATGGATGAAATGTAAGTTTCGTACTTTTGAGGTTATTAAATATATTATTTGCTTTTTAAATTTTAGTCGTGATCTTACAACTATTTTAAATGATTATTGTTCTTAATATTTTAATTTGAACTAATTAGAGATAATAATATTATTGTTTACAGCAGCAACAACGAGGGTGTCGTGGGATGCATTTTGACAGACAAAAGTGGATTGTGTTTAGGAGGTAGATTGAGCAATATATCAATTACTTTTAAAGTGAAATTATCTGAAATTTGGTGCCTGTTATATATTATGAACATCTGATTAACATTTATGAAAGTAATAAAATTTTTTATCAATTTTAGCAAAGGGAACTGCATCAAGTGAGAGTGCTGGAGTTATTGCAGCAATGGCAGAATTGGTAAATAAATTAGAACCTGGAACCAAATCGCCCATAATATCTCTTCAAAGTGAAACCAGGTGATATGTGTAAAGTTTTTTTAGTTTAGTGTGTTCATCACAGTAACCATAATTTGATTTATTGATCTTTCTTTAATATTATTCTATGAATGTAAAAATTATATACTGCTAAGCTTTAGACTGGAACAGTTAAATTAAAATTTAGTTTTTTTTAGGCAGTGTATCATTCAACAGCAAAACACGGTGATTGGAGCAGTTTTTAAAGATTCTACAGCATAAGCGCAAGGAGTTGTACGTTTTACTTGATAATCATGCCTATAACTCTATTTTTTTTATTTATGAAGTGCAAATTATTGTAACGTTTCTTTGTTTGAAATGCCACAACCTAGCTTCATCAAAAAAAAATTTATGTATTTACAAACGTTTTTGTATACAATGATTACACATTATTTTTTTACATTAAATTTATAATTGTTAATAAGTCAACTTGATTACCTAATTTATGAGATCTTACTTTTTTCAACACACATATGAAACTGATAGTGACTTAATTTTTTGGGTCTTTGTGATGAAAGTGGAGTAATTTTCCTTGGCTTGCTTATCATTTACAGTCATGATAATAAGAGGAGCCAAAAAAAATTGTATTTTTTGTAATAATTTCAACAGACTTGGCATTAATAGATTTATTTTTTTGTGCCACAATTATGCTTAAAGTACAAATTTAAATTTAAAAAAAAAAACACTGACAAAATTAATGTACCAAGGGAAATTAAGTAAACAAAGATTAGGATATGTAACCAGTTGTAGAGAATTCTGCAGATGAAGACCCTAGTCAGTATTACTATCATTATTATAGTAACACATAGAATTAATACAAACTAATAGCTACTTAACTCAATAGTTATAAAATTTTTAAAGTAAAATAATTTTTTCATCGATTTGTAAAAAAAAACACTAAAAGTACATATAAAACTAGAGAGATTAGAAAAGCAGTATGACTATCGCCAATTAATAAAGAAATAAGTGTGTTCGTAAAAAATGGGTGTCAAGAAAATCAACTTGTTGGACAGACGCACCACCTGTGGACTCGCGAGAGCCAAAAATGTTAGTGACGTTAAGTCACTAATAATACACGCTCATCGATCTATAAAGTATATAATAGGCTATCATGTTATTGAAGGGACATTTATAATTTGATTTTAACCACTCGAATAGGTACCGATTTTTAAAATTTGTTATACTGCGCACCCTTATTGAAGGTATATATTGTGCGGAATACACCCACAAACGACCACCTGATGAGTGCAAATCTCAACAAAACCACCTGGCCCATATAATTATGTCTTATCTTGCGTAACACTCGAGAGCCAGTCTCGTGCTGATCAAAACTTGGCTGCCATACCTCTTTCACGCCCCAGCAAAGGCTAAACTTAGGAACCGGCCAACATCTTGTCCTGTTGTTGACGCCGATGCGCTTACGTATGTATACGTATTAATATGGTACATTAGTACGGGATGAGTACGCCAAGCTTTATTTTTTTCAATTATCGTTAACTATAGACACTCTTGCAAAGTGTATGGCACAGAAATGCAGTTTGCAAAACAAAAAAAAAACAAAATTATTGTGCCGATACATCGGTGCCATCGCACTTCCTAAAAAAAGATACTCTTTTGTGAAGTTAAGCAAAGAACGACATCGGAGGATACAATTGAGACAAAAAACTGTATCCAGAAGAGCATTTTTTTTCCTTTTAAATATGGATTCTAACGAGTTTCATGATTCAGTTTACATTGATTTGCAGATGTATGTTTTTTCGTGCTAATGAAAATTGTAAATTAGTCACGAAGTTATAGTCAAGGTGCGGTGATGATCGTTGGATTATTTGTCCCGAGGATTCAGGTATTATCGAACGAGTAAAATTAAAAATGAAAAATGAAAAAAAAAAAAAAAAAACAGGCACCCATAATCCAATTGTATACAACGGGCGAACATGATACTGTATAGTTGGTGCGGTGTCGTTCAATTATTTTTTGTCCACAAAAGTGTGCAGCTGTGCCCAACACACCAAAAAAAAAAAAAAAAAAAAAAAAAAAGGAGAAAACAGGCACCCATAATCCAATTGTATACAACGGGCGAACATGATACTGTATAGTTGGTGCGGTATCGTTCAATTATTATTTGATAACAAAAGTGTACAGGTGTGCCCAACACAAAAAAAAAAAAAAAAAAAAAAAAAAAAAAGGAGAAAAGAAAAACCATACAGCTTCTTACACAGCTGTCGTGCGCCAAAATATGCCTATACACCTATGCGCATATACAATATACATATAGGTACGAGCGCGTAAAAAGCAAGAGTGACGAAAAAAAGGAATCGCCGAGGAGGAGGGACGGAGCCGCACGCCCTCGCAGGGAGTGTGTATAAGTAAGTATATGTATAGGTGCAAGGGAACGAAAGAAAGGGCGATGGGTTGGGAAGGGTCACAGCAGCAGCAGGCAGCCGGTGGATGATGATGCATGACGGAGGCTGGGATAATATAAGAGGGAGGGAGGGAGACGCGTGTCGGTCGCGTGCCTACACTGCAGAGTGTATTATGGATCCCTCTCGTACTTCCTCCGGGCTTTTTTTTTTTCTCTCGACCCTTTGGCGGATCGACTTCCTCTGGTAGCTTATATACGTATAAGTGTACTGTACTGCCGATGATGCTGCACCTCCGGACCTGTTTATATCGAGGAATCGGTAAACGAAAAAAGGAGCTGATAAGATCTCAAACTTTTTTGAAGATTATACTCAAACTCCATTTCAAAAGCTCTGTACCTATATCTCGATTTTTATTGACAGTTGCTATTTTTTACTTTGGAAACAGGTAGTATCTCAAAATAGTGAGAAAATGAGGTTTAACTTGATTGTTTTGAGAAAAGCACTTGAATATTTTACATTCCTAAACAGGGTTGCGTACAATTTTTTTTTCCACAAAAGAGCTATCTTAAACTTTCTTGAATAAAAGTGCGCCAAGAAGAAAGCGCTATCTCAATCTTCCGGGGTGTACACAAACATTTCTCTTGGAAAGAAAAAAATCAATCTTAAATTTTCCGAAAAGGAAGTGCTTTCTCGTATTTTTGACACTGACAATAAATGTAAGAGATATAAAATTCAAGGTATCCGCTGCATACATGAAAAGGAACTGCTACAAATTTGAGAAAATTCTTCGAGATAGCGCCTTCGTCCGAGTAAGTTTGAGATGACGCTATTTTTTTTTTTTTTTTTTTGTCAAAAGCATGAAATGGCGTTTTTTCCCTAAGGCGTCTCTCAATATAAACACCTTATACTATATGAGTACAGCGAACGGAAACTTATAACGTATGGAAAAAAATGTAAAAAAAAAAAGGCGCAAAAGGTGGAAAAACAAAATTATTTTGTTCTTTTTGAAAAAAGAAAAGCGCATCCATGTGCACACGTGACACGCTATATACAAAAATCGTGCGCAGCTGCAAGTGGTGTGCAGCACGCCTGGGTCAACGACACCCGGCTATTTCGGGTATCGGCCTCGAGGAATCTCCCGATTCTTCGGGACACACGGGGGACCAAATGAATGGAAATATCGCCGATGGATGGGGGAAAATATACGTGGATAATCGTATACGCGTGCCAATCTTCATATATTTCTCGAAGGGTGTGCCCTCGGTGTACCCCCTTACATATACTTTCGTTGATAATTGATCATCGATGATCTTTAGGACGCGTGAACAAATTGCAGGGTGTTACTAATGAATCGTATAATTTTTCAAAATGTTTGTTCAAGACATCCCCCCCGATCCTCCTCCTGCCCCTCAGCAACGTACTTTTTTTGTAATTAAACATCTGATCGATTTCGGGCAACTTTGAAAGAAATGGATCTGCGGCCACCCGCGCGTGAAAGAAATAAAAATAAAATAAAAAGCTACATGTCGGTGGTGGTGTCGGTATTATTGATAATCACAATAATAACATCAGGAAGGGAGAGAGAGGATGATTGAGCGCGTAAGCGCTCACGGGGGGTATATGTATACCAGTGCATCGTGTATAGGCCAGCTGATCGGCTCCTTTGTTTCTCTAACTTTCTCTCTCTCCCCCTTTTTTTTTTTTTTGAGCATCATCCGTATATACATGAGACGCGCGCCCACATGTTGTACAAATTTTTTTCGGCCACCTGTGAACTCCATCACGTAGGATATACGATCGACTCTCCTCCGATCAATTGTTTAAGTGTAACTCTAACGAAGATAGGCCGTACTTGTTTTTTATTTGCTTGTCTTATTTGATGGGGCATGTTTGATCTCGTGCAAAGAACCAGAGACAAAACAATGCTTGGATAAAAAAAAAAAAAAAAAAAAAAAAAAAAAAAAAATGTTATCGCTTCGCATCGGGACATTTTATTGGCCTACTTTTAGTCACATCGTGTGGTACTTCTTGTACGAATCGTGCAAAAGATAAAATTTATCAATTAAGGCAAGAAAAACGACTTGATATTTTCTGGTAGGTATATACTTGAGCATTCCCTGGTCGAGACAGTGCTATGAAAGTATACGTTCGATCTAAAATGAAAAAAAAAGGAAGGAAGTAAGGATGTCGTCGTACCGATGAAATAAATTCTGAACACTATCTTTGTCGGTATTACTGATGCTACCACTGTTTGCCGAGTGGTTTACGGTTAATGGCAAAGAGAGCACGCAGACCCACATGCGGCGACAACGGCGACGCATGTGGCAGTACACGCAGTGGAGGCACGCCAAGAAAAGCTTTTAAAAAAACGTCAAGGGAAATGAACCACGTACACTTGTGCATGTATATATACATGTACCCACGCATACGTATTAAGTGCATATACACGTGCAGATATAGAGGAGGAAAAGAGAGAGAGAGTCTTGCGCCTCTGTTCCGGAAGCTGTGGATACGTATAGAGTCACGGGGCTCTGCTGTTTCCTTTCGGTATTTCACATAACACTTTACGCGTGCCAGGGGTATGATGGGCACGTGTGACTTTAAAAGGATGCGAATTTTGGGCTTCATTTCACAGTTTTCAAGCAATCTGTAAAAAAAAAAAANGAAATCTTGGAAGAACCCACTGGACAAAGAGCTTCTCAATGCGTTGTAAGATGGAAAAAAAAAAAAATTAATTAAAATTAAACACACAAGCGGCTTTGTTGCGACTAAATAGCTATTGAGTATAAGACCAAGGAAATCTGCGGTATCCAGCTGGTGTACAATATTGATAGAGCGCATCTCTACATCGAGTTCCATATACCTAAAAGTATATCTACAGCTCTTTTGAGGCTGTCGCTGTATGATACTTGTAAAATTAAATATATGACTCGCAGTGGAATTAATTTCACGAAAAAATAAAAGGCTGCTTGAGATCTAACACTTGTTTCTATTGTTATTTTTGATAAACTTTTTGAAATGTTTTTTGTTTATTTACATTTGACGAATCAACTTTTTATACGTAAC